GTTGTTCTGGTACTGAGTGAGCCAAAAATAATAATGATTTTCTTCGGGACCCAGTGGTCTTAGAGTTACCTCTATGGTAGTGTTGCCATGTGGTACAATCCAGTAGTAGTGGTGTTGCCATGTGGTACACTGAAAAAATGCAATAGCAGGTTAGTCACCAAAGTTTTCGCTCCGTCTGTCACTTCGTTTGTGCTACTACTAGATTGAACTAGCATTTTCACCAAATGTACTAGAATGTTTTGGTTCTATCTCTTTCACTCTACTCAAAATGAAATGCATAAAAAAATGACAAAATGATACGCACTCTTTGCACACTGTCAAAGAACCACTTTACACAAAATCAACTTTGTTCAAATCAAAACAAAAAAACTAACCCATCTGGTGGATGATGGCACAAGCTTCCAAGAAAATTCTATTACAGTGAACCACATTATTTAAATGGATTTCTTCGCCAGTTAGTCGTCTGTCACTTCGTTTGTGCTATCGGGAAGGGGAGAATTTCTCCTACCCGATGGTGTTGTTAATTTGCGTGGGCGTATTCGGTTCGCGCGAAAAGGGCTTAACAAATTTTGTGTACAAAAGTTGATTGGCCCGTTTCAAATATTACGCAAGTATTATTCATGTGTTAATTTTTAGTAAACAGGGCCCCGCTGTTGTGTCACTTTTTGTCGAGCGAGTGAACTAAAATCCATCCGTGCACTCGTCTATTGGCAAATCAAAGTTGGCACTCGTGGAGAATAGAAGAACTATGAGAGTGATGATTGTTTCAAAATTTTCCACGGAGAGGTATACGAGTGCAATCTTAAAATGCTTTTATTTTGAAAATGGAACGTTGAATTTAAATCTAGTTGTTGCTACAGTTGTAGAAAAGCTGAAATCTATGCATACACCTAAAAATCTGAAAAGAAATTAATTTTTCTATATTATATATCTACTGAGTAGTCCTTAAGTTTTCTACTAACGTAGCATCAACCAAATTTAAATAAAATGCTCAATTTGCAAAATAACGGCATTTTAAGATTGAACTCGTATACCTCACCGTGTAAAATTTTGAAACCATCATCACTTTCATAGTTCATCTATTCTCCACGAGTGCCAACTTTGATTTGCCAATAGAGGTAACTCTAAGACCAGGAGGTCTCAAAGAAACGCCCCCATAAATGCGAATCATTGCTTGACCTTACCAGAAATGGTTAAAATTGTTTATGATACCTGCTAAACTTTAACTAATTTTTTTATGGAACTCTACATGAACGTTTGTGAGATAAAGTTTTAACCTTATGTATTATGTTTTTTTTAAATGAACCTTACAAATAATGAGTTGTTAATAACCATTACCATTCAAAATAGTTCCTTTTTACTTATGGTTTCAGAATTTTAATGGTAATGGTAGTCAGTAAGGTGCATGGATGGTTTTGTAACATCTATCAACTTTACGTGGAATATATCGCGAATAGGTTGCCTGTAAATGTATGATTACCAATTCAAGATATATTCCACGTAAAGTTGACCAACAATACAAAACCATGAAGGACCTTACTGACTACCATAACCATTACCATTAAATTATTGAACCATAAGTAAAAAAGTTCTAATATAGTTTTCTTTCCGAAAATGTGTGGAGAAAACATCTATTTTGAATGGTAATGGTTCTTAACAAACCATTATTTGTAAGGTTCCATAACTATTTCAGTTAAAGTTTAGCAGGGATTATAAACAAGTTTTAACCATAGAGTTACTCTAAAACCACCCCGTTGCGGAAAGAGAGAGATTTTTCAACGACACGATCGCATATTACCTTCGGCACAACACGCAACACGTCGACCTCGCTGGCGATTTTAATTGCGTGCTTCGCCCGAGCATAGAAATGGACTAGCCTAAGGCTAAAAATCTCTTTTATAAAGACAAAAAAAATCGCCCGAGCGGCTCCACGAGCCCGACGAGCTCGAGGCGACCGTACGGCAGCTGCAGCTGCTGTGGCTGAAGTTATATCCCCGCACCCACATACGTTATGCACAATGCAGCATCCAGGCTCGATCGCATGTATGTAAGCTATGGGCTTTGCGAGCATCTGCGAAGTGCTGCCACACACGTATGTTCGTTCACAAACCACAAAGCTCTTACAGCGCGAATTTGCCTTCCCCACCTTGGTCGTGAACAAGGACGTGGATTCTGGTCCCTCCGTTCTCATCTTTTAACTGCCGAAAACATCGACGATTTCCAAGTCCGGTGGCAGTTTATGACCCGCCAACGGAGGAATTTCCCCAACTGGATGTCATGGTGGATCTCATACGCAAAGCCAAAAATTAAATCGTTTTTCCGCTGGAAGTCAAGCGAAGCATTCAGCATCTTTAACGCTGAATACCAACGCGCAATTAAGGCTCGCGTATGATGGCTACTACCAAAATTCAGACATGTTGACGACTATCAACCGCGTGAAAGCGAAAATGCTCCTGCTGCAGCGACGCTTCGCACAAAATTTCATTCGGATCAATGAAACATTCGTAGCTGGAGAGAGCATATCCACCTTCCAGTTGGGTGATAGACGACGTAAAAAAACAATCATCACAGAGCTGCAGAACGAGCGAGGAGAGCAAATTCAAGGCTCCCTATACATCGAGCAGCACATGCTCTGATACTTCAAGGACTTGTATGTGGCGGAGGGGACCATACAAGTTGGGGAGGAGATGTTTGAAACCGAGAGAGCAGTACCCGAGAACGACGAAGCTAACGCTGCTCTTGTGGCAGATATCAGCATCCGATGGATTGACCTGGTTGCAGCAGTTTGGATGTAATTTTCAACAACTTTTTTTCTGTGTAGTAGTAGAATTTCTTCAGCAAAAAGCAAATAGATCGGCGCATCGTTCAGCAGCTCGGTGACCCCATTTTGTTCAAGAGTGTATGGGCACGTTTTTAGATGTCGCACCCTGTTTTGAATCATACTTGCCTTGAATCTTAAATTGACATACTCATGGCCGTTGTCGCTGCGTAGGATTTTCAGCTTCCGCCTGTCAGGCGCTCCACCATAGACTTCTCTGACGTTTGTGGATTGCACAAATATTAGTGCAGAACTTTGGGTAAATTCAAAGGTTTCTTCCACTAACACTTACAATTTACCCAAAGTTCTGCACTGATACTTGTGCAATTGTGCATATGTCATCTCGTCATATGCTTCAAATGCTTAGTGTTTCGTCTCCAGCGTGTAAATTGCCAATAAAACTCATAAAATATCTGCTGCAACATATCGAGGAAACCTCAAAAAGTCCGCACAAATCTGTGTGCACCAACTCCTACTTATCTTCGGCCCAGCTCTCGCTGCATGGGAACGATTCACGTGAGTGCTTCGATTAGATACACGAAACGCATTCCAAATCACCGGTGCTCATGAATTAGATTCCATCCACCAACTGATGGAACTTCAATCCATGCTTGTTTAATCCAAATACTATCATTAATCATCCTCCATTAATCACAATAGATCGAAATTACACGCACACTGGGATCTACTGAATCCTAATATGATGATAAAATGATAAGTGGAATAATTTATGTACTTGTATTAGTGAACAAGTTTACCCTATTTTAGTTTTGCTCCAGTTGCTTCACGCCATGTTGATTTGAAAATCTAGAGTGTAAAACAAAAGTGTTTTACTTAATTCAATTATGTACAAATTGTTGTCTTCAATAAATTATGTTGTCTTCAGTATGAAGTGACTCCCGGGAAGATCAACCAAGGCTGGTGAATAAATGTACAAGGTAAAAAGCTATTCTATCATAAGCTTACATTTTTCTTACGCAAAATTGATCCTTTGCAGTTACTGTGAATTTCTTTACCGGAAGACCTCATCGGTGGCAGCTACTGCTGCTGGATGGCAACCGTGAGATATTCGGCACCCGTTTGGCGCTGTTCGGCGACTTCTTGGGACCTTACTCGTTTTTTTTTGTGGTGGCCGTTTCAAGTTGAGTAAATAGTACTGAAAGTGCTTGCAGCTGATTGACGAGTGGCATGATGTGGTGGATTACGCAGTTGCGGCCGTGACCCGGTAATACCGGTGTGAAACCACTAGCGATGGTCCGTTAAGATCGGCACGGACCGAGTATACTTATGTTATGTTATGTTTTATACATCGTGTTCTGTGCACAATAGTGCCATTTGATATGTTATATGAAAATGAATTGCTATTGGTTGTTACGTTTAATGTAAAGCGGTAGTTTTTTTACTTTTGTTTTGTTTTATTGAAGGTGGATTTTTCTTAAGAATAAATTAGTTTTTACACAAAACTGAATCGTTAGCCTAAGGCTGAATTCGATCTCACATTTACTGTCAACATGGTACCACTATACTAGCAGTTCACTTAAATAATGGTATCATGCTGTCAGTAGTTGTAAGATTAAGGTCAGTCATAATCCCTGATCCAAGAAAAAGGAATAAATACGAACTATATGGAATATAGTAAGTGCTTATCGAATTTAATCGTTTGAATATAACACGAAAATACACCATAATGTTAAATTACCTAAATGAACTATTAACACAGTATAACGTTTACTTTCCTTTTTAAAACCAAATTTAATAATCCAAATATTCCAGAATGTTATGACATATAGTTTTATGATTTTAAAATTGATTATACAAGAGCTATATGTCTTGTATTACACCTGAAATTTTGTTCTGAAATATCAACCTTATTGAATGGTAATTATACTTAACCGCCTTTATCCCATATAGTTGTTTTGCATAATACAATATATGGTATCCTAAGGACAATTTATGGTATTGTTGCTTATCATTTTTATACACGCTGACTAGAATCGTACATATTGTAGTGTTATATTCGGATACACAATGAAACACATGTTCACGAATCGAGGACTACTTTATTAATCCATTCTTCCTTCCACATTTTATTCTGCTCTACTCGACCCAGTGTTCCCAGATACAACATAACATCTTCTCCCATTCTCAAACAAAATGTAAAGCCCTCCAATCAATTATTAAATTACATCTCATAATCTTTATACTTTACCGGAACCTTTGATTGACGTCTGGGTCGGACTGTACTACCCGTCAGCTCTGTTGAACGAGTTAGAATGTTCTCCGTATCCTCCTCGCCTGCTTCAGCAGATTCTGGTAAATGGTTCTTTCGTATAGAGGTGCATGTGGTTGCTGATGATACTCGGCCATACTTGCTGGAATTTGACGAGCTGGATCCTTGCTGTATATCCACCGAACCCTTGACCGAACCACTCTGGTCGATCGAGTCTTGCGGAATCCTTTTGAGGTGTGAAGAATTTCGCCGATAAATCTCACCTTTTTCTGTTTGGACTATTACGTTGCTTCCATTTCTGTCGATTACCACAGCTGGTTCAGGATGAAAGTTTGGAGCAAGCTTGTTCATTCTGTGTTGCTGCTTCATTAACACCTGGTCTCCAATTCCGATATTCGATTCTTGTGCATTCACTCTTTTGTCACGATACAATTTGGCTTGATACTTATGCATCAGGTCCCGATCTTTAATCTCGTCTTCTAATATCGGGTCTTCACTTATTTGTGGGAATTTATCTCTGAACCTTCTCCCAAACATCAACTCCGCTGGTGATACACCGGTCACGGAATGAGGTGTGACCGTGTACATATATAGGTATTCTTGCAGACATCGCTCCAGCGTTTCTCCTTTCATCTGTCCGATTTTCAAAACCTTCAAAATCGAGCGGTTCTGCCGCTCTACTTCACCATTTGCAGCCGGCCAGTACGGTGTAGTGTGGGCAAGCTTGATCCCGTTATCGACGCAAAAATCCTTAAACTCCTGACTGCAGAAATTGGCTGCGTTGTCCGTAGTCAGTACATCGGGTAGTCCGAGTCGAGTGAATATACGCTCCAAACGCTGTATAACGGCTGCGGAAGTCGTAGTGGACATTATTTCCACCACACAATATCGGCTGTAGTAATCTACCAGTACGAATAGGAATCTTCCACTCGGAAGTGGTCCAAGAAAATCTGCACTCAGGTGGCTCCATGGCTTCGAAGGCATTGCTCGAATCTGCAGTGGTTCCGGATTAGAACCCGTTCCAACGGCTAGGCATTCGATACACTTCTTACATCTCTGCTCCACATCCTTGTCTATTCCCGGCCACCATACGGATGCTCGCAGTCGCCGCTTCATTTTATTGCTGCCTGGGTGACCACTATGAGCAAGATCCAAAATCCTTCCACGGAGACTCTCAGGAACTACTATTTTGTTTAGTCGCAAAATAACTTGATTCACACAGCACAGCTCATTTTGGAACGGCAAGTACTGCTTTAGTTCACAACTCCATTTTCCAGCGTTGATTGCATCGCGAACTTTCCGGAACTCGGCATCATTTTCTGAGTGTTGGATAACTTCTGTCATTGACATCGTGGATGGTAAGGCACTTTCGATCGTGGCACATAGATCACTTTCACAGTCACGGTCATTACTACGACAGCCATCGTCTTGAGCTAATCCCAGCAGCATACATCAACTTAAAACTATATCCCTGTAGTTGCAGAACCCATCTTTGCTGTCGTGCATTAGGAGCTGAATCGGTGGCGAATATTCTCACCAGCGGCTTATGATCGGTGATCACGGTGAAATATTTTCCTCTCAAGTACATTTCGAAACGTCCGATTCCCCAGTAGATCGCCATCGCTTCTTTGTCTAGCACCGAATACTTCTGCTCCGTTCTTGACAAACTCTTACTAGCATAACTGATCACTCGTCGTTTGTCATTGTCGCTTTGCAGTAACACCGCCCCAAGACCTGTCGCACTTGCATCAACAACTAATGTGGTATCGCTGTCCGCATTGTAGAATCCAAGATGCCGCGGGTTGGACAGAGCATCCTTAATCTCGACGAATGATTTGTTTGCTTCCTTAGTCCATTGGAAGTGAACTCCTTTTCGTATTATTGCACGCAGTGGTGCACTGATAGTGGATAGATGAGGGATGAATTTTCCCACATAGTTAGCGAGCCCTAAAAAGCTACGCACCTCTTCTGCTGTTTCTGGACGCCTGAACGATTTTACTGCACTAATTTTCTGCTCCGTTGGCAAGATACCATCCTCAGAAAGCTTGTGTCCTAGAAACGTCACTCTCTTTTGTCCCCACTGACACTTTCCTTCGTTCACGGTTAATCCATGATCTCTTAGTCGCTTTCTTACCGCAGCTACTCTTCGGTCATGCTCAGTTTTCGTACGCCCAGAAACTAAAATGTCGTCGATGAAATGCACAACTCCTTCCAAGCCCATAAGGATCTTTTCAAGCTCTCGCTGGAAAATCTCAGCCGCGCAATTCATTCCAAACATTAATCTTTTGAAACGAAAGTACCCCTTAGAGGTGACGAATGTTGTGATTTCTCGCGACTCATGGGTGAGTTCCAGCTGGTGAAAAGCTTGGTTCAAATCGATCTTGGAGAAATATTTACATCCGTTCAAATATGGCATCAATTCCTCGAAAGTAGGCAAGGGGTGTCGTTGTGGAATGATCGCTGTATTTGCCTTGCGCATATCCACGCATAAACGCACCCGACGCCCTCCGTCTTTGGGTGTGACAACCAAAGGAGAAGCCCAAGTGATCTTACCTGTAGCTGGTTCAATGATGCCTTGTTCGAGGAGCTTTTGGATTTCCCCGTCAACAGTCTTCTGCAACGGTATTGGTAGTCGTCGACACGGCTGTTGTACCGGGTAGACATTCCGGTCAATGTTGATTGTCACTAACAAATCCTTTGCCTTTCCAATATTCGCAACTTTGTCTTCCATAACTTGCAACACTTCACAATTAATTTTCAGCACACCAAGATCCACCGATGATGTCTTTCCCAGCAGGCTAGTGCCTTGCCTCTTGATCACGAAAATCTCACTGTGCACCGTCAACGATCCGTGGCTTATATCGGCTTTGAACATACCCTTTACTTGTAGTTTGTGATTTCCGTACGCTACTAATTTCTTCCGCGTTTAGTTAGTCTCAAAGCTCACTTTACATCCGTTCTACTTCAACAGTTTCCAGGTATCTTCGGCAATCAAGTTCACCGCTGCCCCAGAATCTATCGTCCACTGCAGTGGAACACCACCGACTAAGCACTTCACTTTCGTGTTATATTTGTCGTTGCATTTAGAGCCACACTTTTTCTTCTCGCACGCCGTGGTCGAAAATATGTGGTAAATATCGCTTTCTTCGCTTTCACTTTTGCTTCCTTCTTCTTCACCAACCGATTGTGCCCCCTCTTCCTCAGAATCTTCCACTTGACGTACTTTTTTCTTCTTCTGTTCTACCGGCTTCTTCGTTTTACACAACTTCTTGAAATGGCCTATCAGCCCGCACTTATCACATGTCTTCTTTCGGGCTGGACACCTTTTGTCATTCGCGTAATGTCCCGTAGACCCGCAACGAAAACAACGATTAGTAGCACTTCTCACTTTGTTCACACTTACAGAGTCTTCTCCAACTGCCTCTTGTTGGTTTGAGTCAATCGTTTCAAGCACTCTTCCTTCTTCGATAATTTTATCTAAATCGACAAGTCGCTTTTTCAAGATTGCTTCTCGTAGTCCACTAGAGGAACTTCCATCAAAAATTTGTTCGGTAATTCGCATATCCAACGCGTCACCATAATCGCACAAATTTGCTTGATGTCTCAATCGCCTCGCGAATGCAGTAACACTTTCACTATTCTTTTGGGCCATTTTCCTGAACATTGCCCTCTCGTACGGAATACAAACAATCGGTTCGAAATGATGGTCCAACAGCGCAACGGCTTGTTTATAAACATCACTTCCCTCTGGAGGCGCAATGCCGTGATTTGGGTCATCATAGTACACTTCTTGGACCTCGAGACCCGCCAGGTGCAAAAGTAGAGCTTTTTTCTTTGCTGCAGTTGCCGTAGGATTGCACTCCAAATAAAGTTCGAACGAGCGCTTCCATGCCTTCCATCTTCTTCCTACCGACGACACTTCCCCGATCACAAAATGTGCAATATTTTGATTCATTTCGCTCACTACCAGCACTATTTATATGTGTGCGTGAGATCCACCATTACTTTCGCCTCTACCACGAACAAAGCACTCACGACGCCACCGCGATTTTTCTTAATTTTCCACTTTTTCGCTTACCGGGCTACTCCCATTCAACCGGATTTTCGCGAAGATAACCACGAATACTTAATTCCATTCGATTTCGACACTTTTTCCAACATCCTTGTCGCCAAAATGTAGTGTTATATTCGGATACACAATGAAACACATGTTCACGAATCGAGGACTACTTTATTAATCCATTCTTCCTTCCACATTTTATTCTGCTCTACTCGACCCAGTGTTCCCAGATACAACATAACACATATATACTTATTTATGGTACATAATGATACTGTGAATCATCCCTTTATTGTTTACGATTATGCGGGGAGTAACTCCGTTCACTTGTTATGATTGAGTCGGTACAATCTTCTTTCTCGATGCAAAAATTTCTCTATCTTGACATCCTTCCTTCGTGAATAGCACTTCGAATCCATTGGTACAAATTTTACTTACGGATAGCAGATTGGCCGCCAATTCTGGTGCCTCCAGAACATCCTGTACAGAAACGGCACCTTCAACGCACTTCAAGTTGAGCGTTCCTTTCTCTTTCGAACGCATGCTTCCGTTGAAACGCCGTATCTTACCACTGTAAAACGCTCCCTCATCACTGCTGCTTTTCCCCCTGCTTTGGCTTGACGTCCTGCAATATCTTGGACTTAGCTACATCTGCTGATTAAGCTTAACCGTACACTCAAAATAATTGTCACGTCAAAGCTACGTGAAAAAGCACGTAGATCTAAAAAAGTATTAATGGCTGTGAGGCTACCTGATACAAGTAGAATTTAGTTGTTAGCATCTGATTTTTATCTGAAACACATTTCACATCCACCTTGTTAACCGATAACACTTACGTGAAAATCACGTACGTTGGGAACATCATCCTGCCGATACTGACAGTTCTATTTTCACGTACTTTCGACGTGTTTCACACGTATGAAAAAATAATCAACATGGTCACCGTACAAAACGCACTGCAAGACCTTGTCCAGAATAAGCAACTCAAGCATAAAGTCAAACTACACTCAGAAAATATTCAAATCTAAATAGTATAAAAGCTACGCTAAATCGCAACTCTCCTGACCGACGCATAGCTCGGTATAAAGGGAGAAAATACATACTTAGAGCAACCGTACCAATGAGTAAATAAGGCACATTTACCAACCTCTACCATAACGCTACTTGCGTACCGGGGTTGCTATTCAGGTGGGGGAAATAGCAATCCGCACCTTGGGAAGTAGTGAGTTCATACATTTAGCAACCCGGTAGCAACGCATCAGACGGTTGCTATTTTGAATAAACGTTAAAAGTTTGTTTTGCCGGTGTGGAAAACGGTAACTTAAATTATGATTCTGATAGCAACGACCGGTGTGGAGAGGTGTGATCAAGTCAAAATGGAAACGCTGTGCGTCAGTAAAATAGTGCCGCAAATGGCAACGACTGGTACGGTTGCTCTTAGTATAAAAGTTGTTTATACGACGCGAGTATAAATCCATGTTATGTCCACTTTGTATAGTTTGACTTTATGCTTGAGTTGCTTATTCTGGACATATCGGAAGGGTGATAATAATTGTTTATTTTCTTTCACAGCAACTGCAAAGCAACTAATTATTATAATTTCGAGAAAATTACAATATAATAATTGGTTACAGCGTAGCGAGTTTCAATCGATGTTCTGCAGAAGGAAGTCGTTGTATCACGGCAGGATCTTCCATTTAGCTACTGCAAACAAGAGTTTTCTTAGTGCGGCCTTTCGTGTTGACGTAGGTGCATTGTCTTTTGGTATAGGTATCTTCCGGCAGGATGGCGTGGGCCAGTTGCAATCCAACATCACCGTGGTGTCCAATCTGTGGAAAATAGTTCCTTCTTGATGACACTAGTGTAGTGCACTAAGATTCCGATCCTAAACGCTTCGGCATTGGCCAATCCTCCAGTAACTGATCCACCTTGTCCTTGGGGCCGATTCGTATTCGACTGTTTCCAGTTTACCACTTGGGTTGCGCAGCATGTTGGCAATGCAACGCTGGTGTTCAACCCACAAGTGATTTAACTTCCGCTTACTACCCAACCGTTG